ACTCCCAGAATTCCCCAGCCAGCGAATGCTGGCTGGGGAATTCTGGGAGTTGAAGTCCAGACATCTTCAAGTTGCCAAGGTTGAAAAACACTGATATCAATACTGTGGTTTTTTATAACATGGTCAGGTCCTTCCAGTGAAGATAATTAATTAAGAAATATAACCTTTTTAGAGTAACTTTATCTCGCCTAACCCAGTTTTCTTCCTTGCAGATCTGGACCCACTCATTCTGATTCTCTCTGCCATTTTAATTGTGATTATCTTGCTTTTGGCTTTCATCACCCTGATGTCGAACCGCAGGTACAGTTCTGCCACATTGAGAAAGGAGTGTTCTTCTCCCACTGAAATTAATCCGATGGATATTCTCCTCCTTTATTCCAGAATTATGGATTGAGACAATATAAGAGCATTTCTAGACTTAGCTGTAGTACAGGTAGCGCTTAACTTATGATCCCAAAACTTCGGTTGCTGAGCAAGGCAGTTGTTAAGTGAGTTTTGCCCTATTTATGACCATCTTTGCGATAGTTCTTAAGTTCTCACTTGACCCCAGAACCGTGCAGCTGCCATAAACATGTCAGTTACCAAGTGCCCAAATTTTGATCACATGACCATGGGGATGCTACAATGGTCTTAAGTGTGAAAAATGGCCATTTTTTCCCAGTATCATTATAACGTCGAATGGTCACTAAACGTATGGTTTTATGGCGTAGACTACCTGTACTAAGCATGAAGGGTGGGAAGAAATGCTTTCATGTTTATTTTAAATAGTGTTCTTCTGTCCTCCTATTTTTCACCAGATTTTTGAAAAAGAAGATCTGGCCTGTGATACCCTCCCCGGAACATGAATTCAAAGACCTTTTCACCATCTACAAAGGCAACTTCCAGGTATTGCTCCGCCTGCCCTCCCGAATTACTTTCTCCTAGTTTCTCCTTCCTACACCAAAGTGGTTCATTGTAGTGGTGTCCTTAAGAACACTCAAGTTACATTCTCAATTCTAAATTAAGGAACAATTGGTGGCCAAACACTTTCAATCAGAGGGCATCAAAAAGGATAATTGAGAATAAGCATTTAAAATAATTTAAATGGGGCAAGGAATTTGGAAATTTTAAGGCGCTAAAATTGATCCATGTGGCATTAGCATGTTACGGGAAATCCTCCAACATGTAGAGAGCAATATCTACAATACAAATGCATGCATATGAACGTATGTTTTAATGTATTTTTTTCATCAGAGCCAAAAAAAATGGACTCTGATGAAAAAATACATTAAAATATATGTTCCTGTGCATGCATTTGTATGCCAGCACATTGGAGTGAAACTGTACACTCATAAAATATATTCCCTTTGTATGGAAATCTGAAAAATGACAAGGACTAACAATAGGTTTAAAACACACTTCTTCTAATGTCCCATTATCCAAATTGGGATCCAGATTCACTGGAAAACAAGGACCACGTCTGAAAAATAAAACCTATTAAAGCATGTGCAAATATTTGATTAATATACAAAATAAGAATGGTCTGGACCACTTGGTATGTTTCCCAATAGTGCCATACTCTCTAAAAAGAATTAAGCACTTGAAACTTTTCAACAATAATTGCTAACTTATTCGATAAGCCATTAATGACCTATTCAGAACAGACAATAGTACATACAAGACAGTGAAAGCTATTTAAAATGAGGTCTCTTAAGGGTAGGCATAGGAGTCGGGCATTACATATTTTCACCTGGGCCACCTGTTTTACAAGCATATTTGTGGGGCCAAAGAATCCTAATGAAAAATAAATATTGGCATTTTCCCTATGGGAAAATGAAGGTGGGGACGTAGCAGCTCTGTTGAATGTTCAGGATTCAACATATTCTTGTTGTTGCTATTAACCAGCCGAACAAAGCTAGCTTGATATAAAATGTTTGGAAACAGGAATGTTTATGCAATAAAGTGAAAAACCAAAGGAATTCATATAATGGGATGCAGGGAAAGGAAATACAAAGACACTGGTGAGAAAATTAACTTAAAAGGGGGAGAGAAGGGGACGTTCCATATCCTGTTCCTTGACGTAGAAATTTCCTTTTTCGCAGTTGTGGTTGGGCCATCAGAACACTTACCCGTGGTGGAGCCAGAATACCCACTATCTGGAGGAGCAGCCATTTTTGGTGGAACTATTATCCGAATGTGATGGCCACAAAGTGGAGAGCCCTCCCTGTCCTCCTCCCCTTCCCCCCAAGAGCTGCCCTGTAGTGGAGCTGCCTTATTCTCCAGAATTGTCTCTGGATGATTACTTAGTACTGGATAAAAATGTGATGCCATGCTGGTTAGGAGGAAACGGCTCCCCGTTTTTGCTGGGTAGGCACAGCAGCAGTGAGGATTCAGACCTGGTGCTGGCTGAAGAAGCAAGAATTACGGAGCCCAGCCAAGCTTCTTCTAGCTTCGACTACACCGTGTTTGATCCCAGCTCCGAAAGTCTCTCTCCAAAAGGTCAGCAGCCAGAGCTTCGGTTCAAAAGCAGCTACCAGATGGTCTCCGACTCGGGGATCTCTGCCGACTTCAGCCTGGCGGATTCTACTGCTGGCCCCATCAGTCTCTACACCAACCTCTGTGATAGAGCACCACCACCACCACCTTTTCTGCCTACCTACATTGCATGCTCATAGCTCCAACAAGCATGGAAAGCGTGGACAAACCAGAAGAACGGAAGCAGAAAGTGTACCAGCCCAGCTGCCCCCCCTACCATCTTTGCTCTTCCCAGGAGAAAAAGCTGCAGTAGTGGGGAAGCCCTAGATCACCACAACAGCTCTGGCTGGCCAAGCTGCTTTGATGGGATGACAAGTGATCTACAAAAGGGGAAATCCGGATGGAAGGCAGGCAGCAATAATTGCCTTCATGATTATGCACTAAAACTATTGGCATTACTTTTGATCACGAGCTTTGTTTGTGCTCAGACAAACCTATGAAGTTGTTAAACTTGAAAGGGAATTTTTTTTGGGGGGGGGGGCGGGGGAAGCATAGGGTAGCAGCTTTCTAGCCAGCTGTAACTATCAGCCCCAATACTCCCTATCGAGATTGAATGGCAAATCTCTTTATGTCATCTCAAAGAGTAAGGAGAGAAACGAACAGTTTTCTTTAGTTCTGTCTTTGCCTAAGTTCTTGGGTGAGACTAATTATCTTTTTTTTTAAAATGAAAAATATATTTTCATGATCTTTTATAAAAACAAATGTTTTAAATCAGTGTTTCTCAACCTTGGCTACTTGAAGATGTCTGGTCTTCAACTCCCAGAATTCCCCAGCCAGCATTCGCTGGCTGGGGAATTCTGGGAGTTGAAGTCCAGACATCTTCAAGTTGCCAAGGTTGAGAAACACTGTTTTAAATATACCAACTGGGACTGAGCCAGGAGATTGCAGGGTTTTTTTCGAGAACCGGGAAGGGAGCAAAATTCAGGGACTGGAGCTAGGATTCTTACAAATTCAGGATGTCTGGAGTCTCAATTCAACTGCAATTCATTCAATGGCTCTTGTTCCCCCATCTAGAGAAACTGGCTAAAATGCTAAGGAAATATCTGATAGGCAAGATGCCCCAATTACCAGATTTTTGGAGCACTGCTTCGGTATTCCGCCAGCTGTTTACTGTCACGGTGCATGGATTGTATAGAAAATTGCTGTTATTTG